GCAGCAGCAACAGCAGGAACAGGCGCAGCAGCAGTGGCAGGAGAACCAGCTATCCCTCTCCCCGCCCCTCTCCCTCCCGCTGCCCCTGCCCCCATTCCCCCCACTCCTGCTCCACCCGCCCCTCTTCCCCCTTTTCCTCTTCCTCCGCCCTTCCCCCCAACCTTCCCCCACGCCCCATCCTCCCCAACAGCACCAGCAGCGGCAGCAGAACCAGCTACAGCCGCTGCTCCTGCTACAGCCGCCCCTGCAAACCTCTCTGCTGCTCCGGTTGCTACAGGACCTGCAGATGACGACTTGATGGGCACTTCAAACTCCTTCCAAAAATCAGTAAGTGCTTTCAGCGCAGGATGGCGGGCCTAGCAGTGGGAGGGAGCGGGGTAGAGAGGGGGGATAAGAGCGTGCGTGGGGTTGTGGGCCTAGATGACGACGTGATAGGCACTTCAAACTCCTTCCAGAAGTCAGTAAGTGCTTTCAGCGTAGGATGGCGGGCCTGGGAAACGGAGAGAGAAGGGCAGCAGCGGGAGCAGAACTTCGGACAGACAAAAAGAAGCAGACGAATCGATGGGCAGGGCGCCTCAAGGCCCAAACTCCCTCCAGAAGTCAGCCAGTGCTTACAGCGTGCGGTGACGCGCCTGGGAAGGGGCGAGTTACTGAATTGGGAAGAGCGTAAATGAATGGGCCACGAGATGCTGAGCTGATTTTTGAGTCGACTCAAAAGTCGGCGGGCTTGGGAATGGGCGAGTTATTGAATTGGGAAGAGGGTTAATGAATGGGCCATGAGATGCTGAGACGGCTCTCAAGAAATGAGAGAATACGAGAGGACAGCGAAGCGCAGCCGGCAGTCGTCAGCCGGCAGTCCTCAGCCGGCAGTCCTCAGCAATGAGGTTATTTTTGAGAAGTCAGAAGATAACCACAATACACGTGGCTCCTCAGCCAACAGTCCTCAGCTGACAGTCCTCAGTCCCTCTTGCGCACACTTTCCCGTTGCCCCTACAGCCCTACCCCCCTCCTCCATCCCTCTCATACACGTACCAGGAGATGTGGTGCAAGCGATGCTGAGATGTCTCGCAAGAGATGGGCGAACGCAGGGCAACCAGCCAGTGCCTGCACAACAGAGAGAGTTATGCGAGAATTATGGAAAGTTGAGTGAACAAGGAATGGGAGGAAAAATGAATCACGGTGATGACTAAAAAAAAAAAAAGAGGTTGAGGAGGGGAAGAAATTGAAAGACCTGTGTATGACAATAAGAACTGAAAGGGTGGAACGAGGGGCAGTACCTGAAGCGTGGAGTTGAGGAAACAGAGGTTGCCTCTGTTGACAAGACCCCTGGGAGCAATGGGCACTGCTGCTCGCCCCACTAGAGGCCGGGAACCCAACAGCACCGGGACTGCTGCTGGTGATGCTGCTGATGCTGGTGCTGCTGTTGCTGCAGGTGGTATTTGTGGTGGTGTTGCTGGCGCTGCTGCAGTAGCTGGTGGTGGGACTACTGATGCTGGTGCTGGTGGCGGCGGTTGCGAGTCTGTTGTTGGTGCTGCTTCTGCTCCTGGTGCTGCTGCTGGTACAGCTGCTGCTGCTGGCGATGCTTGCATTGCTCCCTCTGCTGCTGCTGCTGCTGCTGCTGCTGCTGCTGCGGTTGTTGGTTGCTCCGCAGCAGCAGTGGCAGCAGGCATAGGGGCAGCATTGGCGATACCAGCAGCTGATATAGCCGTGACATTGTCCCCATCAACGCCTGGCAACAGCACGCTAGGTGCTGCTGCTGGTGACGGTACATATTGTTCCTGCTGCTGCTGCTGCTGCAATTTCCCTTGCTGCTGTTGCTGTTGCTGTTGCTGCTGTGGTGTCGATTTTGACGCAAGTAGAGCAGCCCAGGACTTCGGAGGGGTGTGCTTGGGAGGGGTGTGTTGGGGTGGGGTGTGTTGGGGAGGGGTGTGTTGGGGAGGGGTGTGTTGGGGTGGGGTGTGTTGGGGAGGGGTGTGTTGGGGTGGGGTGTGTTGGGGTGGGGTGTGTTGGGGTGGGGTGTGTTGGGGTGGGGTGTTGAGGGGTTGTGAGGGAGGAGGGGAAGCAGAGGTAGTCGGGGCAGCACAGGCAGCAGGAGGGGTCGGACTTGACGCAGGAGGGATAGCAGCGGACGCAGAAAGAGAAGCAGTATGTGGATGCGCTGATACCCCTGCCTGCACTTCATCACCTGCTACTTGCACTTGTGCTTCTGCTTGTGCTTCTACCTGTGCTTGCGCTGCTGCCTGTTGTGCGTGCGTCGCTGGCTGTCGCGCGTGCGTCGCTGGCTGTTGTGCCTGCGCTTCAGCCTGTGCGTGCGCCGCTGCCGGTGCTTGTGCCGCCGGTACCTCTGGTAGCGTCAGTGCTGTCGCATGCTGCTGCCCAGCGTCTTGCTGCGTGGCTGTCGCCTGCTGCCCTGCGACTGTCGCTTGTTGCTCTGCGACTGTCGCCTGCTGCCCTGCGACTGTCGCTTGTTGCTGCGCTGCTGGCACTGCTTGCTCAGCAGGTCGACCCCACACGTGGCGATTCCAAGCGGAGGGAGGGGGGGCTTGCTGTGGCTGCTGTTGCTGTTGCGCTGATGCCTCTGGTTCTGTTGCTTCCTGTTGCTTCGTTGCTGCTGTCGCCTGTTGCTGCGCTGCTGCTGTCGTCTGTTGCTGCGCTGCTGCTGTCGCCTGTTGCTGCGCTGCTGCTGTCGTCTGTTGCTGCGCTGCTGCTGTCGCCTGTTGCTGTGCGACTGTCGCATCTTTCTGCGTGGTTGTCGCCTGTTGCTGCGCGGCTGGCATTGCTTGCTCAGCAGGTCGGCCCCACACGTGACGATTCCAAGCGGAGGGAGGGGCACCTTGCTGTGCTTGTGCCGGCTGTTGCTGCTGTGCCTGCTGCTGCTGCTTCTGTGGCTGTTGTTGTTGTGGTTGTTGTTGCGGCTGCTGCTTTTGCTGTTCCTGATATTGTTGTTGCTGCTGTTGTTGTTGTTGTTGCCAGTGCCCCTGTTGCAAACCCCGTTGCCCTTCTCCTCTCCCACCAAAGCCTCTTCCTCCTTCCCCCCTCCCTCTTTCCCCCCTTCCTCTTTCCCCCCATCCGCCTCTTCCTCCCCTACCTCCTTCCCCCTTCCCTCTTTCCCCCCATCCGCCTCTCCCTCCTCTTCCTCCCTCCCCTCTTCCTCCTCGTCCTCCCCTTCTTCCTCCCCCTCCGCGCTGCTGCTGCATTCCAGATCGCGGCCGTGGCCTTGTCGCCTGCTGCCATTCCTCCTCCTCATCCCCCCTCTCTCCCTCCTTCGCTCCCGTCCTCCCCTCCTCGCTCACTCCCTCTCTCATCTCCTCTCTCGCTTCCCCTTCCGGCCTTTCCATCTCTTCTTGTCTGACTGTGTGCTGTTCAAACCCTTCACCGGCAGTCGATTCGGACACGAGAGCGGGCTTCAGATCACGAAACTTACACCTTCTAATTGCCGGCTTCTCCCCCCTGGGTTTTACGAAAACGAAAGACACAATACGCAGGCCTTCGATTTCTCGGCGAAACACCGAGTGAAAGTGTTATCGTCAAAGATCGAAGTTTGTTCGTGAAACTCTACTTGCCAATCCAGCAAGCCCTGACAAAACCTAGAAACTCCCAACGGAAAAACTGCTGCGTGCTGCAAACTCTTTGATGTAACTCTAATTACTCGACAGCTTCGCTTTTCGGAAAGTTATGCGGGAAGGAGGTTGCCTGCCTGCGGTTGATATGTCTCTACCTGTGTGAATCTAGGGAAAGAGGGTGTAAGGAGGGGAGACGGGAGAGGGGAGAGGCTTTACAATGGTCAGGGGATTGGAGCGTCTGGTCTGGTCGGGCATGATTGCGTGTTATTGCTTTCTGGTCTGGGGTCTGTGAAAGGTTTCGGGATTCTCAAGGCACTGTACGTTGGGATTTCTACGGGTAGTTTGTTGGGAATCTCTAGGCTTGGGATGTGGTGCGCTAACTTGATCATGAACTTCATCGACGGCTCAGATTTACAGAGAACTGCAAACCAAAACGCATTCTGACAAAGTTTCAGGGCTGAGAAGTTATTGGTCTTCGCGTACGCGCTACAGCGCAGAAGGCGAAAGTTTAAAACCTTGGATACAACGTTACACTGTACGAGACTCATATCAAGCTCGCTGCTTATATCGATTTCTGCTTACCCACTCGCCTCGTGAGGACTTCTTGTCCTGCCTTGTGCGCTCACCACCACTGATTTCCTGTCATTCCACGTCGCTCCGCGCCATTCCGCGTCTTCCGCGCCGCCCTGCGTCGCCCCGCGTCGCTCCGCGCCATCTCTTCCCCCCTTGCGGAACGCACTCGGGTCAAACCTCTCACAAAACCGCCTCCGCCCTCCATCTGCGCCGCACGCAACCAACTGTGCCTCTACTCTCGCGAATCGCGACCACTCTCCTTCAAATCCGCACAACCGCCGTCTACGCCTCGATCCGTTCCGCGGATTCGCAGGCTCAGAACCTCGATCGTAAGAGGTAATTCGGAGTTAGTTATTCCAAAAGTCAATAGTCCTGATCTGCACGACCTCCCCGTTATCCAGCCCGAACTGTTTCTGCCGGAATCTGCCCGAATCTGCCCGAATCTGCTCGAATCTGCTCGAATCTGCCCGAATCTGCGGGATCAGTCCGAACAAGCCCGATTCTGAAGCATTTGCGCACTTCACCTTTCAGTCCTGATCCGCAAACCCGTGCGCTCTTCAGCTTTCAGTCCTGATCCGCAAACCCGTGTCCTCGTAACCTGATTCAGTGCATCCGCGCGACGCGACGCCACGCGATGCGATCGACGGCTCCTGCTTGTAGCATCTGATTTAAACGGCCGTTAGCCGGTCGTCCCCTTCCTGCCAATCAGATTGACCAGTACTTTCAGCATTCCCTCGTTCACACGCTTTGCCCGCCCACTTTACGGCATTAGCTAGTCCAGACGGCTTCTGAGTCTACCCAGAAGTGGCCTAATAAACGGCTCTGCAGCTCCTCAAACACGATCAAATCAACGGTCGGATCGTTATGTCATCCTCTCAGTCTTCTCAATCCGACGGTCTCACCGCAGCTGTCGCCACGCCGCCAGAGGCGAGTGGAGGCGCGCCGGCGGAGCCGCACGCAGGGAACGCGCAAGCCGCCAAAGCGCCGTATAAGATGCCCACACCGGAGGAGATGGCGGCTCAGGAGATGATGAATCATTGCGGCGTACGAACCGTTATTAGCGGCGTGATGGGTGAGTGTTATTGCAGCAGCATAGTCACATTCAATAATGTCACAAACGAGCACCATTCAGTGACGCCGTTCAGTCAGCAGGGCTGCCCACACCACACCACACCACATCACACCGGAGGAGATGAGATGGCGGGTCAGGAGATGATGAACCACTGCGGCGTGCGAACCATTATGACTTGGTGACTTTTGAGTCGACTCAAAAGTCACATCGCGGCTGAGGAGATGATGATGAACCACTGCGGCGTGCGAACCATTATGACTTGGTGACTTTTGAGTCGACTCAAAAGTCACATCGCGGCTGAGGAGATGATGATGAACCACTGCGGCGTGCGAACCATTATGACTTGGTGACTTTTGAGTCGACTCAAAAGTCACATCGCGGCTGAGGAGATGATGATGAACCACTGCGGCGTGCGAACCGTTTTCAGCGGCATTAACGGTGACTCACGGTTGATGAAACACTCAGTCATGTTGCTGCCCACATTTTCTCCCTTGCTCCTGCTCCTCCCCTCCCCCTCAATCGTGTTGCTCCTTGCACCCTAATTCTTGTCCTCCTCCCCACTCCAGGTGGGCGGCATGGGGGTGATGATGGGTCTGCTGTTCTGTGCTTGGAAAAGCGACTTTTGAGAATTCTCAAAAGTCGCACCAATATGCTTGGAGAAGCGAAGTCTTACTTGAGTTAGGTTCTTAACTAATGCCTCGTAACCATGATGCACTGTTGACAAACTCTTTCCGCTGTTCCCCTCACATACTGCTCCGTGAACCCTCACTCCTTTTCATTGCAGGCGGAGGCATGGGGGTGATGATGGGTCTGCTGTTCGGCGCGTTGGACCAGCCGTTGCATGTGGAGGAGATGAGCACGCGGCAGCAGCTGGTGCATGGGTTCAAGTGAGTGACGTGCCATGGTGCAGTGCATTCACATGTGTGCATTGGTGCGGTGCTGCCTTGACATGGGCCTTCACCAGCCCTTGCATGTGGAGGAGATGAGCACGCGGCAGCAGCTGGTGCATGGGTTCAAGTGAGTGCATTCGGAAGCCAGGCCATGCATGTGGTGCACTCATCATCGCAGCGATCAGTGGTAGTCTGCGTGTTAATGTGGTGCCGTCTTGACATGTGCATGCACCAGCCCCTGCTCTGCATGTGGAGGCGATCAGCACGCGGCAGCAGCTGGTGCATGGCTTCAAGTGAGTGCATTCACATGTGTGCATTGGTGCGGTGCTGGCTTGACATGGGCATTCACCCCCCCCTGGACGTGTGGAGGACACACGCACACATGCACCAGCACAGGGCGGCAGCTGGTGCATAAGTTTAAGTAAGTGTGGATGTTCGGTTTACGTAGCCCTGTGTTCATTATCGTGTGTTCAGTGGCGAATAATAAACCACTGTTCATACTGCCTGTGCCACTTTTGACCCTCCTGTGTCTACACCTCCTCCTCTCTGCTCGTTCCACCTCCTCTCTGCTCGTTCCACCTCCTCTCTGCTCGTTCCACCTCCTCTCTGCTCGTTCCACCTCCTCTCTGCTCGTTCCACCTCCTCTCTGCTCGTTCCACCTCCTCTCTGCTCGTTTCACCTCCTCTCTGCTCGTTCCACCTCCTCTCTGCTCGTTCCACCTCCTCTCTGCTCGTTCCACCTCCTCTCTGCTCGTTCCACCTCCCCATTTTCCAACATCTTCATTCAGGTACATGGCTCGCGCAGTTGGGACACGGGCAGGAATAGGGCTCATGCGATCAACTCTCGTGTGTTCACACCGCCTTCCTTGTCTCTGTTGTAGTCTCTCCCCTGCTCCCATTCTCCCACTCCAGGTAGATGGCGCAGCGCAGCTGGCACACGGGCAAGACCTTTGCAGTCATGGGGATGATGCTTTTCTTCTCTGGTTCCCCACCCAGCACCCAACCTTCCATGTTTGCTGCGATGGGAGCCATTTTCTCGGCGTCAGAGTGCATGGCAATCGTCACCTTTGCCTCCTGTACTACCTCCCCCTGCCATCGTGTGCTTGTGTGTGTCCCCTTCTCTGCAGGCAGATGGCGCAGTGCAGCTGGCACACGGGCAAGACCTTTGCCGTGATGGGAGTGATATTCTCAGAAGAGAGGGCGAGGAAGACCTGTATACTCAAATTACCCTCCTGTGTCTGCTCTGCTCCTCCTCTCTGCTCCTTTCCACGCCAGGCAGATGGCGCAGCGCAGTTGGCACACGGGCAAGACCTTTGCCGTCATGGGGGCGATCTTCTCGGCATCGGAGTGCATGGCGGAGAAGGCGAGGGCGAGGCATGATGAAGTGAATACAGTCATAGCTGGCTGTGTCACTGGGGGAGCACTCTCAGCCAGAGGTGTGTGTGTAGTTTGGAGGTGAGTCTGAGCACTGGCAGTGATGGGGGCGATCTTCTCGGCGTCAGAGTGCATGGTGGAGAAGGCGAAGGCGAGGCACGATGGGGTCAACACAGTCGTTGCGGGCTGTGTGACTGGGGGAGCACTCTCAGCCAGAGGTGAGTGAACGCAATTCCAGCTATGCAAAGCCACCTTTTGCAGTGCTGTTGGCAATCTTTTCAGCGTCAGAGTGCATGGCGGAGAAGGCGAGGGCGAGGCACGATGAGGTCAACACCGTCATTGCTGGCTGTGTCACGGGAGGATCACTCACAGCCAGAGGTGAGTGTGTAGGTTAGAGGTGCGTCTGAGTGTGCGTCTGAGCACTGGAAAGGATGGGGCTCCTCAAACGAAGGAAACGGATAGAAAGCTGCAAGCTCGGTTGACCGACCTAACTAATCTGAGTAGAAAAGTTCACTGAGTACTAGGCGAGAGCACGTGTAGGTAAGCGTAGTAGTATTAAAAGGCAGATTACAAGTGGTTCAGAAAACGTACGCGCGTTTCGGCTTTGTGGGCCTTCATCGGCGTTTCCGAATCCTACTAAACTTGCCCGCTACCTAGCAACCACTACTTGTACCTAGCAGTTCCGTGTGCGTCTGAGCACTGGAAAGGATGGGGCTCCTCTTTTCGGCATCAGAGTGCATGGGCCATGATGACTGGGCGAGCTGCAGCTAAAGAAATTTTCTAAGCTGCAGCTCGCCCAGTCATCATGGCTAAAGGATGGGGCTCCTCTTTTCGGCATCAGAGTGCATGGGCCATGATGACTGGGCGAGCTGCAGCTAAAGAAAATTTCTAAGCTGCAGCTCGCCCAGTCATCATGGCTAAAGGATGGGGCTCCTCTTTTCGGCATCGGATTGCATGGCAGAGAAAGCGAGGGCGAGGCACGATGAGGTCAACACGGTCATTGCTGGCTGCGTCACTGGAGAAGCACTGTCAGCCAGAGGTGGGTGAATGCAATTCCAGCGATGCAAGGCCGCCACTGTCAGTGATGGGAGCGACACTCGTGGCATCGGAGTGCATGGCAGAGAAGGCGAGGGCGAGGTGGGTTGTTGTTGTAGGGGGGGGGGAAGGCGTGTGTGCTGTGAGAAGGGTGTTCTCAGCATCAGAGTGCATGGCTGAGAAGGCGAGGGCGAGGTGGGTTGTTGTTGTAGGGGGGGGGTAAGGCGTGTGTGCTGTGAGAAGGGTGTTCTCAGCATCAGAGTGCATGGCAGAGAAGGCGAGGGCGAGGTGGGTTGTTGTTGTAGGGGGGGGTAAGGCGTGTGTGCTGTGAGAAGGGTGTTCTCAGCATCAGAGTGCATGGCAGAGAAGGCGAGGGCGAGGTGGGTTGTTGTTGTAGGGGGGGGGTAAGGCGTGTGTGCTGTGAGAAGGGTGTTCTCAGCATCAGAGTGCATGGCTGAGAAGGCGAGGGCGAGGTGGGTTGTTGTTGTAGGGGGGGGGTAAGGCGTGTGTGCTGTGAGAAGGGTGTTCTCAGCATCAGAGTGCATGGCAGAGAAGGCGAGGGCGAGGTGGGTTGTTGTTGTAGGGGGGGGGTAAGGCGTGTGTGCTGTGAGAAGGGTGTTCTCAGCATCAGAGTGCATGGCAGAGAAGGCGAGGGCGAGGTGGGTTGTTGTTGTAGGGGGGGGTTAAGGCGTGTGTGCTGTGAGAAGGGTGTTCTCAGCATCAGAGTGCATGGCTGAGAAGGCGAGGGCGAGGTGGGTTGTTGTTGTAGGGGGGGGGTAAGGCGTGTATGCTGTGAGAAGGGTGTTCTCAGCATCAGAGTGCATGGCTGAGAAGGCGAGGGCGAGGTGGGTTGTTGTTGTAGGGGGGGGGTAAGGCGTGTGTGCTGTGAGAAGGGTGTTCTCAGCATCAGAGTGCATGGCTGAGAAGGCGAGGGCGAGGTGGGTTGTTGTTGTAAGGGGGGGGTAAGGCGTGTGTGCTGTGAGAAGGGTGTTCTCAGCATCAGAGTGCATGGCTGAGAAGGCGAGGGCGAGGTGGGTTGTTGTTGTAGGGGGGGGTAAGGCGTGTGTGCTGTGAGAAGGGTGTTCTCAGCATCAGAGTGCATGGCAGAGAAGGCGAGGGCGAGGTGGGTTGTTGTTGTAGGGGGGGGGTAAGGCGTGTGTGCTGTGAGAAGGGTGTTCTCAGCATCAGAGTGCATGGCTGAGAAGGCGAGGGCGAGGTGGGTTGTTGTTGTAGGGGGGGGGTAAGGCGTGTGTGCTGTGAGAAGGGTGTTCTCAGCATCAGAGTGCATGGCTGAGAAGGCGAGGGCGAGGTGGGTTGTTGTTGTAGGGGGGGGGTAAGGCGTGTGTGCTGTGAGAAGGGTGTTCTCAGCATCAGAGTGCATGGCTGAGAAGGCGAGGGCGAGGGGCACGATGAGGTGACTACAGTCATCGCCGGCTGTGTCACGGGAGGAGCGCTGTCCGCTAGAGGTGGGATGTCAGCCAGATAATCGCATCTCACCTCACCACACCGCATCCCACCACACCACACCGCATCCCACACCACCCCACCCCTTGACTGTCCTGTCTTTCAGCAGGTGCCGCAACACTAACTCTCCATCTCCTTTCTCCCCTCTTCCCCATCCTCACCCCCAAGCCCCTCATTGACTGCAGAGGGACCACAAGCATCATGCATGGGGTGTGTGCTCGCATCACTGCCTTTCCTGTTCCATAAGGCATGCCAGGAAACTCATGTTCTTCTCCTTCTCCCTTCTCGGCCCCCTTCTACCCCGTTCTCACTGCCTTTCCCTGCAGCGGGCCCGCAAGCAGCATGCATGGGGTGTGCCGGCTTCGCTGCCTTCTCACTCCTCATTGAGAAGGTTCTAGAGCGATACCACTAGGCCGGTACTGATGGCTGCCGGGCAGTCCTTCTTGACTGCCAGAATTGAAGTCTGGCTTTGCTGCCTCCTCGCTTCTCATTGAGAAGGTTCTTGCGATACCACTAGGCCGGTACTGCTCTTTTGAAGCCACCTGCCGGGCGGTAACTAGCTACGGTACATGTAATTAAGAGCCTGGGTAGAGATTTTAAGAGCCTGGTGGTGCTCTTGTTATGGTTACATGCCACATGCCAGTCTTTACTGCAACAAAACAAGATGTCATTCAGTAACATAACATGGAATTGAATGGAGATCTCATGCATGCAGCATGCCCGGTGGATGCAGCATGCCCGATGCATGCAGCACGCACCATCAACTTTGCAAGGAACTGGTCACCTCACCTCTCGAGTTCCTTTTGAGGCGCCCCATCCTCAGTACCGGTACCGCCGTTTGTTACGGTACGTTACACATGGGTGTTTTTTATCGCAAAAAATGCATTTCGGTATTCTGCATTCTTACAACAACACTAGCTGGTTTCTGAAGCTGGCAGTAGCTGTATTTGTTTTATTGTTAATTGAGTGAGGAAGAGAAACTGAATGAAGTGTGAAGAGCTGAACAATTCACCACCTACCGTAGGTTCAGTCAGTTTGGCTCAGTTCAGCTCAGATCAGCACAGCAGTGACAGCTGAAGTTGCAGCAGACACCTACAGCCATGATGGTGCACTGCCCCCATATAGCAAGCTACCCCTAGCCAGTCAGCCGTGTTGTGTCTTGCTGGAAGAAGTACCATATTATTGAACACAGAAAACTTCCGGAGCCAGTACTTTCAGCAGAGGCAAAACGATCCCGCCAACCGGATTCGAACCAGTGACCTAAGGATTGCTAAACTACAGTCCTCCGCTCTACCAACTGAGCTATAGCAGGATATCTTATCCATGGATCTTGTAACAATTAGACAATAGAAAAACACTCTCTAAAGAGATGCGTTTGCGAGGTGATAGTCTGACTAGAGAGGGTGACTACATCATTTGTTTTGAATCTAAATCTTGCACTGCTTGCACACAAGGCCATGGGACTCAGCACTGGCGACCACATTTGCACGACAAACTCCAATAGAGATGATAGTAACGTAGCCTTCTGATCTGACACAACAAGCCCTCTACTAACTGGACCTGGGCCGTAGCTTTGGCTGTGCTGCCCCTCGCATGACATACGACTTCCTCCCCCCCGCCTGCTGCTCCTGCTCTACCAAAGCGGGACCCAGCCTCCACGCTGCCTCTGACGCCGCATCCAGGGGAATCTTCTCGCGGTACAGCCACCGGCCAGAGTCTGGGTCACGCACAAAGCGGGATTTTTCGACTAGGATCTGGTTGTCGGTGGTCGTGCCGTGCTTGTAGGCGTAGACTGCTCGGAACGAGACGAAAGACTCCTGTGAAGGGGGGAAATGAGGAGGGAAGCGGGATCGTGGTGAACACCAGCCAACCACTTGCACAGTTCCAACATGCACCCTGTTACAAGTCCACTGGCACTGGTACCAGTACACTGCCAATTTCACCACCACTACACACCACACCAAACCACTCACATCATCATTTTCCCCTTCCTCAGTGGAAAGAATCTCGAGGCGTTTGAAGACCAGCCGCTTGCACGTCTCCTCGCAATCAGCAGTCAGCTTCTTGCGCCCCTCTGCTCCGCCGGGTGCCATGTTGGGGTTCTCCTCGTGTGTTGTGCGCACGATGTAGGGAATCACACCCCTGGCGAAAGCTGAATAGCGTGCCTCTGGAAAAGGGAGGGAGGGGGGTTGCAGAGAGAGATAGGGATGGATTTTTTTTTTTCCCCTTGATAATGCCTTTGAAAGGGCCAGTGACGGATCACGGCTGAGGGGTGGTGTGTGTTGCGCCCCTCTGCTCCCCAGGGTGGTAGTCATGTTGGGGTTATCCCCATGTGTTGTGTGCACGATGTAGGGAATCACACCCCTGGCGAAGGCTGAATAGCGTGCCTCTGGAGGGGGGGAAAAGGAGGGCAGGCATGTACGGGATCACGGCAGGTCTGTTGCGTTGCGGCCCTCCGCTCCCCCCGGTGCCATGCCATCCCATGTTGGGGTTGTCCTCGTGAGTTGTGCGCACGATGTAGGGAATCACAGCCTTGGCAAAGGCTGAATAACGCGCCTCTGGAGAGGGATAGAAGGGGATTACACACATCCACAGAGGTTCAGGGTTTAAGGCTAGCCCCTCTCGCCTCTCCACTTCCCTGAATGCGCAATGCGAGAAAAATAACCCACTTATGAGGGAAACAGCGTATGCTTCCTTCACCCCCCATGGAACCGCAATCGTAACCGCATTATCACATGGTTACCATGTTACACACTAACTTTCAAGCATGAGAATAGAAACCGTGTTCTGAATGCCATGTGAAGGTCTAACTTTCAAGCTTACTCATGAGAGACACAGCATCTGGTTCCTTCAACCCCCCATGGTATTGCGATGGTTACCATGTTACGCACAAGGATTCTGGTTACCACCATTTCAGTGTGTTCACCTCCCCATGGTACCACGATGGTTACCATGTCATACACAGAGAAATTGGTTACCACCATTTCAGTGAACTCACTTATGAGGGAAACAGCGTCTGGTTACTTCACACCCCCATGGTACCGCACGCAGCATTTATCGTATACGCGCTTCTCCCCCTCACCCCATGGTACCACAATGGTTACCCCATGGTTATCCCATGGTATGGTTACCCCATGGTAACACAATGGTTACCCCATGGTACCACAATGGTTACCACATGGTTACCCCATGGTACCACTATGGTTACCCCATAGTAATCCCATGGTACCCCATGGTACCACAATGTTACGCACACCAGTTACAACTCACTCATTAGGGAAACAGCGTCTGGTTCCTTCATCCCGCCATGGTACCGCGATGGTTACCATGTTACACGAAAGTTCTGGTAACCACCATTTCAGTGGTGTACTCACTCATGAGAGACACGGCGTCTGGTTCCTTCACCCCTCCATGGTACCGCGCGCAGCACTCCTTGTATGCGCGCTTCTCCCCCTCCCCCCCGCCCCCGCACGGACACACCGCCGCTTCCGCCGCCTCCGCCCCCGCCCCCGCCGCTTTTCCCGCAGGCGCAATTCCTGACGCTCCGGCGGCGCCAAGCTCATCCAGCAGTTTGCTGCTGCCGGCGCTGCTGCCGGCCGGCTTGGTCTTACTGCCGGCCGCCGGCTTCTTTCCGAAGCCTCTCCCCGCTTGTGCGGTGACGAGCGCGGGGGAAGGGGACAGGAGGTGGAGGCGGAGGGACGTTTTTCGTGAACTGTTTGCGAAAAGGGTTCGAGTTTGAAGGGACGAAAGGTTGGACGCCTTGAGGGTGTCGTGTGGTTTGTATCGGGGATAGAGTGTACGCGAGGACAGCGAAGCATGCATCCTCACGGTTGCACTCATTGTCGCAATTTGGGAATCGTCGTCAGAAGCTGATGCGAAACCACGACAAGCTTCTGGGGATTGGAATGCGATATCAGCCCTAGTAAGCACGAGCACACGTAGGCCGGAAACGAAAGGTGGCGTATTTGTGTTCACCGCAATCCGTAGTCCGAACCGAGAAACTCCCTGGTCGGGTTCGAGCCGTGCCTGGAGATTTCAGGCGAGTTCCCTCGAGTTTGACAGCAAGCTCCTCAAGGTTTCTGATGGCAAAGGTTTGAGGGCGTGTGCAGTGTGGTTGCTGTTCATATATGCTGAAACTCGACTCAACCTTTTAGCTGAAATTGCACCAACAAGCGGAAGTTTTGTTCGGCGAAACGTAAGTGCCAGAATCTGACCGAGGCTCGCACTGCAGCTGGGTATCGGTGCTACAAATCGCTGACGCTGGGGGCTTTCTGAAATATTGTTTACTGTACTTTCCTTCGACCCTGACCGTATTCGTTGCAAACGCAACTCATCCTATCGAGTTTCCAACACCTTGGGACTTTCACGAACCTAGGGAGGTTCCGCCACCAAACCAACCAACCATCTCCTCTCACCGGGTTGGTCGAATGACGAAGTCGTCTTATATCGCGTACACGCCCGCGTTTCCCGGTCACAGCCTCAAACTCTCCTGCAGTGTTCAACACACCTTCGCGACATCGTGTCTCTTATTCGTTTAGCTCATTCCTACCAGGTCATTGTTGCCTGGTTCCCCAGAGCGGTTTCCCAGAGTGGTTTCCCAGAGCAGCGAGGTCTGGTTGATATCCCGAATGACCACCAGACGACAGCTGAATAATGCAAAATCTGCGAGTTTCGCGTAAGCTAGCGGAATTAGAGCAGCAGTAGCCTGCCTAGAACCGTGACTCAGTTGTCGCTTCTGAAGCGTGTCACAGGAGTGACCTTCGACTAGTTCCCGCGGCGCATTTCGAGTCACCCAAAGGAAATTCCACGAAAACTAGTGTCCCTTCCGGGACAAACTGTATCGCGGATGGGGTGCAGCAGATGGGCTCTGGTCCCGCTCTTGGTGCTCACCGTGCTTGGCGCCGTGATCCCCGCGGGACAAGGCATGCCGCAGATCAGCCCGGAATTAGCGGAAGCTGCGAAGCGCTTACACGAGGTAGGGTCCTATGCTGGTGGGAAAGATGGTTTGGGGGAGCGGGGTTGCAGTCTAGCCCGGAAGTTTGCGAAAGAGTTGACTTTTGAGTCGACTCAAAAGTCAACTCGGGGAGCGGGGTTGCAGTCCAGCCCAGAGCTTGCGAAAGAGTTTGCGGAAGCTGCGACGCGGATTCACGAGGTAGCGTCTTGTGCGGGGAAAATGGCGGGTCGGTGGTCGGGGGGATGGAGGGACGATAGGCGGGAAGTTGGGGGGGTACAGTAAGATGATCGGGGGGATGGGGTGGCGATTGTATGGGGGAGTGGTGTCAGAAACGCGCATAGAGAGGCCGTGAAGTAGATTACCCGTTCTACAGGCGTGGACCAAGGCGTATAATGTTGACTTTTGAGTCGACCCAAAAGTCAACGCGCATAGAGGGGCCGTGAAGCAGGTTACCCGTTCTGCAGGCGTGGACCAAGGCGTATAGCCTGGCTGGCAGATGACCCCGGGCCCAGATGTCGCTCCCACCCCTCCCCACCCCTCCGCGTCCCTCCTCGCACCTCCCCACCCCTTCCCACCCGTCTCCATACCTGCCAGTCATCGACCAAGGTGTATAACCTAGCAGACGACACCACTCGCTCCCCCTCGCCGCTCTCCTTCCCCCCGGACGTCCCTCCAGCACCCCACCTAGAGGGCTGCACGGCCAATACTGGTTTATATTTCATCCTCACCCCTTCCCACTCTTCCCCACCCTTCCCCACCCCTCCCCACCCGTCCGCATCCCTCCCCACCCCTTCCCACCTCTCTACAGTCCTGGACCAAGGTGTATCACCTAGGAGAAGACACCACTCGCTCCCCCTCGCCGCTCTCCTTCCCCCCGGACGTCCCTCCAGCGCCCCACCTGGAGGACTGCACGGCCAAGACTGCCCTGAGGGTGAAGGCAGAGGCGAGGGGGGCGCATGGGGAGGACCCTGAGTGGGTGCGACCGGGCAGGTGCTGCAACTGCACGCCCCAACCCCCTTGGGTGAGTGTTTGTTGCATTGACTCGCCCTTGGTGAGTGATTGGTAAGTGTTTGGTGAGTGGATAGTCACAACTTGCCCTCCAGCGCCCCACCTAGAGGACTGCACGGCCAAGACTGCTCTGAGGGTGAAGGCAGAGGCGAGGGGGGCAAACGGGGAGGACCCTGAGTGGGTGCGACCGGGCAGGTGCTGCAACTGCACGCCGCAACCCCCTTGGGTGAGTGTGTCGTGCTGGTGTGTGATTGCTAGGGAATCCTGTACACTGCACACTGCACAGTGCGCACAGTGCAAGCAGCAATGAAGGACCCTGAGTGGGTGCGACCGGGCAAGTGCTGCAACTGCACGCCCCAACCACCCTGGGTGAGTTTTTGTTGAGTAGTTCCGGCCTGGGTGAGTGTGCTGTGAGTTGGCTCACCCTTGGTGAGTGGTTGGTGAGTGGTACACCGCGCCCCACCCAGAGGGGACTGCACGGCCAAGACAGTATTCCTGAGGGTGAAGGCAGAGGCGAGGGGGGCGCATGGGGAGGACCCCTGAGTGGGTGCGACCGGGCAGGTGCTGCAACTGCACGCCCCAACCCCCCTGGATGAGTGTTTCGGTGCTGCTGTGTTACTGCTGGAGGATCGAGCCCAGTGCACAGTGCAAGCAGCAAGGGAGGACCCTGAGTGGGTGCTGCTGTGCTATTTGGCAAGTGCTGCAACTGCGCACGAGTTTCGAGTCGACTCAAAACTCGACGTATCACATACTGCTGGAGGATCGCGCCCAGTGCACAGTGCAAGCAGCAAGGACCCCCGGGTGGGTGCTGTGCTATTAGGCAAGGCAAGTGCTGCAACTGTGCAGCGCACGCCACAACCACCGCGGGTGCGTGCTGTGCTATTAGGCAAGTGCTGCAAATGCGCAGCGCACGCCACAACCACCGCGGGCGAGAGATTGTTCCTCCTTTCCCTCTCTTTTTTCTCCCAGACTTTTTCATTCCTCCTTTCTTTACTTCCAAAAATAGAATTGCTTTTGGAGATTCAGAGCTTGTGAGACCACTCTAGCATCCACACTTTAAATTCATTTCTCCCACCACCATCCCATCCCATCCCATCCCATCCCCCTTCACCCTACTCACGACCTATTTCCCCTATTTCCACCCTCACGTGTCCCCCTCCAACCCCCGTTTCCTCATTCCCCTACCCCCTTCCCGGAAAACCCAGATCCGCGGTTCTGACCCGGCGAATCTCGCGCTGACACGTGTCTTCCAGCGGGACCTGTGGGAGCGGCAGTTCCCCGCCAGCTGTGCCGGGCGGCGGCTAATGATAACCGACTGGCCCCCCAAGCACCATGGCACCGGCAACATGGTGCATGTGATGGGGTCGTTTCTGAACGCCGCCGTGCGGCACAACAGGACGCTCGTTGTCCGCCCCCACACCTTCCACCGTGCTAGCGGGCAGGAGTGCGCAGGTGTGTTCCCCCAAGCACTCATATCCCACCCACCACGGCACCGGCAGCATGGTGCATGTGATGGGTCAGGGTCGGTCGGTACTTGGACAGCGCTAGTGGGGGGGAATGTGGGGTGGATGTGTACAGGACAGGTGGGGAGTATAAGGAAGGGAATGGCTGTGCTGTGCTGTGCAGCGCAAAAGGACGCTCGTCATCCGCCCTCGCACCTTCCACTGCGCCAGTGGGCAGAAATGCACTGGTGAGGTGTGGTGGGGTGAGGAGGGGTACAAGTAGGTACAAGGGAATTAACACAACGGCACACTCGTCGTCCACCCCCACTGCTTCCACCGCGCCAGTGGGCAGGAGTGTGCAGGTGAAGTGGCGAGGGGGTAAGGGTGGGGGGTAGGGTAAGGTGGAGAGTGCTGCATCATCCACCCCCACACCCACTGCTTCCACCGCGCCAGTGGGCAGGAGTGTGCAGGTGAAGCAGCAGCGCCACTCGCTCTCTTCACCACAATCCCTTGTCCTCAATCCCCCCCTGACCCTCTCTATCCCCATCCCCCAGACATCAGGCAGGAGGGCGAGTGGGAGTGTTACTTCTTCCCTGTCGCCTCCCCAGACTGCCTCAAGGTCGCCTTAGCAGCCCTCACAGCAGTAACACCCATCGCTCTCTTCCCTTACCCCACAGTCTCCTATCCCCTGTCTCCTCCCCCCCTTACCCGCCTATCCCCATAAACACACTACTCCCAGACATAGGGCAGGAGGGCGAGTGGGAGTGTTACTTCTTCCCTGTCGCCTCCCCAGACTGCCTCAAGGTCGCCTTAGCAGCCCTCACAGCAGTAACCGCTCTCTTCCCTTACCCCACAGTCTCCTATCCCCTGTCTCCTCCCCCCCTTACCCGCCTATCCCCATAAACACACTACTCCCAGACACAGGGCAGGAGGGCGAGTGGGAGTGTTACTTCTTCCCTGTCGCCTCCCCAGACTGCCTCAAGGTCGCCTTAGCAGCCCTCACAGCAGTAACACCCATCGCTCTCTTCCCTTACCCCACAGTCTCCTATCCCCTGTCTCCTCCCCCCCTTACCCGCCTATCCCCATCAACACACATCTACTCCCAGACATAGGGCAGGAGGGCGAGTGGGAGTGTTACTTCTTCCCTGTCGCCTCCCCAGACTGCCTCAAGGTCGCGTTAGCAGCAGAAGCAGCAGCAGCACTGATCGCTCTCCTCACCACAATCCCCTCCGCCCTCTGTCTCTCCCTGACCCTCCCTATTTCCACACCACAGACATCGGGCAGGAGGGCGAGTGGGAGTGTTACTTCTTCCCCGTGGCCTACCCAGACTGCCTCAAGGTCGCGCCCTCTCTCCTCTCTTGCCTGTCTTATTGCCCACCCATGTTCCCGCCCTATCCCCATCCCCCAGACATCGGGCAGGAGGGCGAGTGGGAGTGTTACTTCTTCCCCGTCGCCTCCCCAGACTGCCTCAAAGTCGCTCTCGCAGCAGAAGCAACAGCACCTATCGCTCTGTTCAACGATACCAAGGAAACGGTGCTGGCGTCGGCTACTCAAGTGGTCATTTGCAACGACACCCACTACCACCACGACGCTGCAAGAGCTGCCAGGTGGGTGCTGCCTGTTAGTGCTGCCAGGTTATAAGGCTATGCTGTGATGGTACTGTGATGGTGCTGTAATGGTGCTGGCATCGGCTGCTCAAGTGATGATCTGTAATGACACTCACTACCACCACGACGCCGCTAGAGCTGCCAGGTGGGTGTGTTTCCCCTCTCTCTTTCTCCTCCCTGACCTTTCTACATTCTTGCAATGCAGCCTCCGGGTTGCTCCTTACAGGACACCGCCGGATCATCTTCTTCTTTCCTGCTGCGGATCCTGCTCCTCTGAACATCCTCTCTTCCCTCTACCACACCCTTTTTTTCTTTGCTGTTCCCTCTGGGTCACTCCTCCACCCTTTCAACCTCTAAGTGGCTCCTGTCCCCGCCCTTTCAAGAAGGAATAACAGCAGATTGTCAGAGCTGGAGCAGCCTTTGATGATCGAGCATCTTCTTCCTTCCTGCTGCAAATCCTGATCTTCTGAACATCCTCTCTTCCCTCTGCGACGCCCTTTTTTTCTTTGCTGACTGACCCCTTCGGATCACTCCCCTCACTCGTGCAGCCTCTGGGTGGCGCCTGACGGCAGACCGCCCGAGCTGGAGCATCCATTCACCATCGAGCAGCTGGGGAGAATCTGGGTGCCCAACGACAACCACATTGGGGTGAGCAGAAGGTTGGGGTGAGCAGTGTGTTGGGTAAGCAGCGCGTGGCCACATAGGGGATGGTGCCACTTGCAATGAGCATCCGTTCACGAGCGAGCAGCTGGGGGAAGATATGGCCGCCCAATGACAACCACATTGGGGTGAGCAGCAGCAGGGGGGTGAGAAGCAGAGGGGTTCAAAGGGGTGAAGAGCACATGCTGGAGTGTCTATGAGATGGCATGGCATGGTGCCACCGCCAGGGAACATCCTTTCACGATCGAGCAGCTGGGGAGAATCTGGCTGCTCTATGAATGTATGATAACCACGTTCGGGTGAGCAGCAGGTTGGGATGAGCAGCAGTACCTTAATTCCTTTTGCGCTGGCTCTCCGCCCTGCTCTGCCACATCACCAACCGCATTTGACCTTTTCCCCCCTTCCTCCTCTCCTCCCCCCCTCAATCAGGAGCGTTGGTGGCGGTCCCAAACCGCTCGGTTCCTCATGCGCTGGCCCTCTGCTCTCCGCTGCCACACCACCAACTTTGTGCTCCCTGTTTCTCTCTCCCCACTCCCCTTTCCCCCTTCCCATCAAACAGGAGCGTTGGTGGCGCTCCCAAACCGCACGCTTTCTCCTCCGCTGGCCCTCTGCCCTGCTCTGCCACATCACCAACCGCGTGCGACACAACACCTACGGGATGGCTGTAGCAGAGCGGGTCGTATCCGCTACAGCCAAGCAACAGACCATTCTCCACTCCACACCCCCCAACACTCCGGAATCCCAGCACTTGAACTCTCTCCCTGACGCCTCTTCTGCTGTTCCGCCTTCTGTCGCATACAAGTCGAGCCTAGCCGGGACTGTATGGCAGATGAAGGGATTCGCGGGGTGTGTGAGAACGCGGTGTAATGAATCCGAGGCGTGTGCGGGAGCGGGGAGTGCGAATGCGGGGGGAGGTGCGGCGTTGGAGTTTTCCTCGTTACAAGACGAACCGTTTATATTCCGGCCGTACGTCAGCCTGCACGTGCGGCTGAGCGATAAATACCTCGAGATGAAGCTACACTTCTTCGCGACTTATATGTACTTTATGTATAAGCTGCGGGCGCACGTGCCGAACCTGGAGCACGTGTGGCTCAGCACAGAGATGCAGGTGAGCTTGTGGGTCTGCTGATAAGGGGTACATTGTACATTTCTGCACGCAGCTGAGTGTTTGTACGAGGTAGATGAAATATGGCATGTCCCCCCCACTTCCACTCTTCCCCATCCCCCTTCCCCGCCTCCCCCCTCTCCCCTTCCTCCTCCTCTGGCTCCTAGTCTCCCCCTCCTTTTCTCACACCCCTCCTCATTTCTCCTGAATGCATTGTGGCGTCTTTCTTCGCAGAGCGTGATTGAGGAAACTTCCAACTTTCCGGATTGGACCTTCCACTACACGACGAGTGGGCGGGTGACGAGTGCAACGCAGATGCAGGAGGAACATGTGAAGGACAAGCAGCGCACGGGGGAGATTTTCGCGAATCTCATCATCACGACGCAAGCGGATTATTTCGTCGGCGCGCTCGCGTCGAATTGGAACCGTCTGATCGACGAGCTGAGATCGACCAATGGGAGGCTGTACTCGGGACACGTGGCTCTGAATGAGGCCTGGACATGAGGTGATTTGTCCAATTGAAAACACACATTTAGTTGCTGTTGCATTCTCCAGAAGCACAACTAATCCTTGCACCTGGATCATGCCCAAATTGGTTAATGAGTGCATTTGAAATGTACGTGAAAAAGTACTGCCTATTCACTACCAATGCAGCAGTCAGTGTTGGCTGTAACCAGAAAGTACTGCACCAGAAACAGCTAGCATAAGGAAGAAACAGACAACCTACTTAAGACAAAAGAGACAATAATGTTCTCCAAAACCAATACCAATTTCCAAAGAAAATGAAGCTACGGCTGGACTTTTTTTTTTTTTTTTTTTTTTTTGCCAGGTGTATAACTGCTTTTGAAGAGCCTGAGCCTGTTCCCTGCATAATAGCCATGCCTGCACAACAACACCAGGTGGGCAGAAGTGAGCAATGGGGGGGGGGCCAAGCTGAGACACCTCAAGAACTACATACCGCAAATCTATATTATTGATCACTTGAAAGGAAAAGCATGAACAATCACACAGATGAGCGGCGGATGAGATAGCACTAGGAAAAAGCATGTGCTTCTGGGAGCCGTAACCCTAAACTTGGAATGTGCACACCTACACTCATATGGTATGCAAGATCCAATGTCTTTACATTCTCCCTGTCTTCTCCATCCTCTCCATCGCCCCTTTTAAGTATCATACGCCCATCCAGGTTTCAATACCTCTACTATCACAATGGCTTACCACTCATTCACATTCCTCTAACCTCTGTCAACAGAGGTCATGCGGACACACTCAAACCCATCCCCCCTCCCCCCTCCCCACCCAACCCCCACTTCCCCCCACATCCCACCACCCGCCCCTCTCCGCATATAAGCCGCAGCCTGACTCACTTCTACCTCGCCTTCCAGATCATCCAAACCCTAGAGCATGTACCTTGGAGTGCGATCACTGCTTGAGATGGGGAAAGCACACATAGAAGTCGTGCTTGGGGTGCCGTGCGTCTGCGTGTTCTCTGCACTTGGCCTCGTTTGTCGTGCAGATGAACGTTTGCATGCACACCTTGCACTGCAGCGACGGAGAAAAGAGGGAGAGAGAGAGAGAAAGCAGGATAACACAAGGTGGCTTTTGAGCAGATGAACGTTTGCATGCATACCTTGCACTGCATGATGCCGAGGAAGGAAGAGAAGATAAGCAAAGCAGGATGACATGAGCCTGATGTACTCGGTTCAAATTAATACTGAGACGCGCCTAGAATTAACTACACACGTTATCAGCTGACGTCAGCGGATGTGAGAACCTGCACGACCCAAACGACAATGACAGCGTGAATTATTCAATCGAAGGACAATATCACATTGTTAGATGGCTAACAACCAGAAAGCATCTCACCTGAATGTTCATAGCCTTCTGGTTCACCTCAAGCTGGCTGCCTGTAAAACACGGAAGCCGAAAGGTTCATGAGAAGTGAAATGGAGAGAAACGGGAGAGAGAAAGGGGGAGGGAGAGTGAGAGAGCGAGTGAGTGTGTGAGATTGAGAGAGAGCAAGGGCGAGAGAGAGATAGAGAGAGAGAGAGAGAGAGAGAGAGAGAGAGAGAGAGAGAGAGAGAGAGAGAGAGAGAGAGAGAGAGAGAGAGAGAGAGAGAGAGGTGGGGAGGGAAAAGAGAGTGGGGGGGGTAGGAGGGAAGTGTCAGAAGGTTCGACATACAACGGTTAAAAAACAAACAAAAACATAACGACTTCTTATTTAAGTCTACTTTGATCGAATCATCAAAGAGAACATTTTATGAGAGATAAGTCCCGATAGGGCTTACGCGAACCTAGACAGAACTGGTAAAGAATCTTCTGAATTTTGTAGAGTTTCCTCGTTATAACAAAGCTGTTGGCACCTTTATGTCACAAACCGATGAGAAATCAATAAACTATCGAGGAAATAAATGAGTTACTGCACCTCGGTTAGCTGACATCTTGGCCTGCGCCTTCTCGCGAGCCATCTTGGCCTTCTGTCCGTTGCCTCCACCCATGTCGTCGAGATGTCGATACGATGTCTTTACTATAAATTTGATCGGAACGCAAGCGAGTAGCAAGCGCAGCCGCGAACTCAACAAGCAGGTGAGAACGCTAGCCGAAACAAGGCAAGGGAAAAAGGTCACGGGCAACAAAATAGTCGAGCTGACGCCTGGTCGGGAGGAAGAATCAGCTACAGAATATACAGATGCTGAAGCTTGAAAGCAAGCGAGTATGTTTCAGGCATTCCCTAGGCGGAATCACAGCTCACACCTACTGTAAGAACGAAAAGACAAGCACGCGAGAGGGACCTCGGGATCAGATGATGAAAAGCGAGGAATCGTCTAGTCTCGGAAGACTCCTTTTTGGAGGTCCCTTGAAAGTCGAAGCACGGAAGAATCTTGGGAGGGAAGCAAAGTCTGGCAGACACCTATGTTTTCTTTGATCGGAACCGTCGATGATGTAAATCTGACATCGTAGTAGCCGTCGATTCGGCCGCCAACAGAAACCCTTGTGCTGAATTGCTTCTGGAAGACGCGACTGACTTGGAGGGTGCACTACAGCCACGAGATCTATATTCGGTAGAAGCTCCAGTTTCAGTGAACATTATTTCGCACTAATCGTCAGGCTATATAAATGATATTTAACTTCAGCAGAATTCCGCACCTATAAACAATTGTTTATGTGTATTTTTATCCACGTTAAGTTCTTAAAAGTCTTTATTAGGCATAAATTGATGTATCACACGTGATGCATCAGATTAACGTTAGGTGGATATCAGCTGAGGTATGTACCGTGAGAGCAATGTTCTCATGCTGTAACACATCGTTGGTCGTGACGAGCATGAAATGGCAGTTATTTAGGGTATGAGCTGGATACACGCGCTTGCCCCGCCCACCCACTTCGCCACCACAGGACAAGGTCCAAACACCATCGCGGCCGCGTTCATGGCGCGCGGAAGCAAAAAAGAATGGATTGGCGGGCGGGAAACGAATCCTGGGGACGTGCAGGCGCCCACCCGCAACCTCTACATACTCCCCCTCCGCTTCCCCCGCTTTCTTCGCCACGCCACGCCACCACAACCGAAGCTTCTTCAGGAACTTTCCGTACCACTCAACTCGTACAAGAAACCCAGGTGGGCCATAGGCCATACGCCATGGCCTTGGGATCATGGACCATGGTGTGATGTGAACTGATTGACACGTCGAGTGCCTGTAAGGTCAACATACAAGTGGCTTGGATTTTGTGTGTAGAGTTGGTGTGCGTAGGACTAGCCTTATGGTTGCCTTGTCAAGCTCCGACTTGAAGATTCGTCTCGCGTTGTCTTGTCTAAAAATGGTTTCCTTCGCATCCGCGTTATGATTTCACTCGCGTAGAGAGAAGTTTCTTTCTTTCTGCTATTTTTTTTTCCCGGCTGAATGGAGTCGTCGTCAGCGTCCGAGGTGAGCGTCTTGCCGCTGAGCCCAGTCGCGGAGTATGCTTCCGATTGCGAGACAAAATTTCGCGATCCCGAAGTCACTAATATCGCGTATAGCGACACCACTAACGGATCGCCTCGTGCCGAAAGGCGGTCGCTGGAGAGCGCGCGAGAAGGTCCAGCGAATGCCGTTGCCAAGCAAGGTTGGATTAAGAAATCGGAAAACAACGAAGCAAATGCCCCAGGCTCTGTTAGAAAGAGTTTCGATATTGCGTTACGGAGCATCAGCTTGGCAAGCAGCTGGAGGCTCGGCGGGGGAAGCCCGATTAAAATCGACGGCAACAGCAGTAGAAGCGGTAGAATTGACGGTAGCAGCAGCAGCAGAATTGACGGAAGCAGCAACAGAATCGACGGCAGCAGCAGTAGTAGCACCATCTGGCGGTTAAGTGCTAGTAGCTCGGGGAACGCGACGGAAAGCAGCTGTCTCCCTGTACGCAGCGGTTTCCTTGTTACTAACCCAAAAAATGTGACCAGCAGCGGCAGCAGCAGCAGCCGCGGTGCGAATGGCGGGGTCCGGATAGCCGGAGAAACGAAAGACCTTGTGGAAAATCGACGGCAGCTGACCCGGTTTCACAGCTTACCATCAGGCGATCTGGATCTCCAATCAGACGCGAATGGTGGAGCGCGAGAGGGCGAGGGCGAGTTTGCTTCTGCTTCTGCTTTTGCTGCTTCCGTTGCTGAAAGAGGAGGAGAAGGAGAAGGAGAAGCAGGAGAAAGTGCAGAAGGTAGTGATGACGTGGCAGATAAAATCGATCATTCGGCCTGGAATGAGGCTCCTAGCTACACCACAGATGCCAATTTCCGAGTTTCTTACATTTCCGGATCCAGATCGGCGAAATTAGCGGGTACTGAAGGGGAGGAGGAAAGGGGAAGCTGGCGAAGTCCAATGAGGTTACTCCAGCAAATGCAGCAGATGCAGCAAATCCCGAGAAAGAAGCTACAGGCGAGGCTAGGCCACTGGTGGCAACGCCACCGGCCGTTTCACGCGGGAAAGCAGCAGCCGCTGGAGCCACGTCAGCAACAGCGTGTGCCACGTCAGGAGGCGCCACATGAGGATTTGGGCGGTGAGAGTTGGGATTCTAGAGGGGAAGGCAGCGGAGGAAAGGTGAGGATTATGAAAAGTTTATCAGAGCAATACCCGGGACAGGAGAGATTTATAGCAGGGCAGGAGACGCGTGTACGGGGGATTCAGGAAAGGGAGGTGGCGGGATCTCAGGAGGAGCAAGGCCTTTTACACGTGGAGAAGACAGGAGTTGAAGAGAAGGGAGTTCGGGTTTCTGGCAGAACTGGAGCAGCTAGTAGCGAGGATATGGAAGGGGCGGTGTGTTTGGACGGTGGTTTGGCAGTTGGGGTGAAGGGGCGTGTGGAGGAGCAGGAACAGCAGGAGCAGAAGGAGAACGAGAAGAAGGAGCAGGAGCAGGAGGAAGGGGAGGAGGAGGGGGAGGAGCCGAACAAGGGGGGGCCGCAGGGGGGAGGAGATGGCAAGGAGCAACAGGTAATTCGAGAGGGAAGGGAGAAGGGGAGAATTCAGGGGCAGGGAAGTGAACAGGAACGCGGGAAGCAGCAGCAAAGGGAGCAGCACGGGCAGCAGCAGCAAGGGGAGCAGCAGGAGCAAGGGCTGAAGGAGGTGCTATTTGAGTGGACGCCGCATGAAAGTGAGTCGCTGGAACAGCAGATAGTGCAGCAGCAGAGTTTACGGCAGCAGAGTGGGAAACCCATGAAGCTAGGAATAGGGACCACCTCAGAGGAGCTGCAGCAGGTGCTGCAGCAGAGTACGCAGCAATCGACGCTGGCAATCGGAACCACCTCAGAGCAGCAGCTGGGTGGGCAGCAGGCGAGTGGGCAGCAGGCGAGTGGGCAGCAGAATTCGCAGCAGCAGAGTGGGCAGCCCATGAAGCTAGCGATCGGGACCACCTCAGAGCAACAACAGGTGCTGCAGCAGCTGCTCGTTCAGTGGCAAGCGGGGCAGCTTCAAGGGGGGACGCCGCAACCCAATGACCAGCTGCCACGTGGCACTGGCGCTACCAATACCACTGACACAACCAGCACAAGCACCACGAGTTATCCCCCCACCACTGCTGAAGCTCCTTCTGCTCCTGCTTCTACCACTCCTGCTGCTGCTGCTGCTGCTGCTGCTGCTGCTGCTGCTGCTGCTGCTGCTGCTCCGTCTGCCCCTGCTGCAGCTCCCGCTGCTGCTCCTGCTGCTGCTGTTGGTGTTGCTTCGTCCTCCTCCCTTTCTCGTAGGAGTTTCACCCGCCCTCCTGCCTCCGTGTCACCCCCGAATTCCCGCTCCAGCCGCCGAAACTCCTTCACATACCCTCGCAGCCACAGTACCCCCTCCGCCTGTTCTCCTCATACCATTCCGCACTCCTCTCATCACTCCTCTCATCACTCCTCTCGTCACTCCTCTCCCCACTCCTCTCATCACTCCTCTCGTCACTCCTCTCGTCACTCCTCTCCTCACGCCTCTCCCCACTCCTACTCTCCTCACTCTCTCCCTCCGCTGCACCCCCGCCGATCCTCCTCCCCACGCGCTCCCCCGTCCCTCCCCTCCACCTCCTCCTCCTCCTCCTCCTCCTCCCCGTCCCCCTCCTCCTCTCCTGCCGTCTCCCCCTCTGCCGCCCTCCACCCGTCCCGCCATCCTAACCGCTTTCCACCACACCTCCAGGGAAATAACCAGCCAATCGCTCAGCAGAATCAGTCTCAGCAAGAGATCGGTCACAGCCAGTCAAGGAGACAGCACGAGCAGCACTCAGGGCCCAACCAGACAAGAAGGCAGAATCACGAAACCAGGCAGAATGAAAGCAGCCGTGAAGGCAGCAGCAGAAACTCTCCTGTCACCCCCTCCGGCCCGTCCCTAGCTCGCCCGCCTCGCTGGTGCAGCCCTAGCGGAGGCACCAGCAGCAACAGCAGAGGGGGAGGAGTGGGGGGGAGGATGGGGAGGGGACGGCAAGGGCACAGGAGGGCTGCCTCTGCTGATAGTTTCAGTTTCAATCCTGATGAGATGGCTGATGGCGGCATGCATAGCCCTTTCTCCTCCGCTGCTGCTTTGCGCTTGCAAAACCCTCCTCCAAACCCTCCTCTGCAGAATCTTCCTCTGCAGAACCTCTCTTCTCAGAGCCTTCCTTTGCAGAGTCTTCCCTCTCAGAATCTTGCTTCTCAAGCACTCCCCTTGCAGCAGCAAGCGGTGCTGCCGGTGCAGCAGCGCATGCCACATGCCGAAACGACTGCTGCTGGAGGAAACAACCTCTTACAGAGGAGAAATGATATCCCTTCCTTTAAAGACAACAACCTTCTTTCTCCTAACAGCAGCAGCAGCAGCAACAACCTCCTTTCCCCTCGTAACCGCCTCCTTTCGCCAATTAGCCGCCCCCATTTCGCTAATAACCGCCTCGTTTCCTCTAGTAACAGCCTCCTTTCGCCAAATAACCGACTCCTGTCTCCCTCTGGCAGCCACCCCTTCGCCCCTACCTCTCCCCTCTCGCCAATGCCGGGTTTCTCGCCGGCTTTTTCGCCTGCCCGGAGGTCTATTCAGCTGCCCAGGTCCCCTTCTGCTGGCTCTGCCCTTGTAGCGGAGGCTTTAGCAGAGATTATAGAGGATGAGGAGTCGGATAGTAGTAGCTCGTCTGAAGGGGAGGAGGTGGGGGAGGAGGTGGATGAGGAGGAGGAGGAGGAGGGTTGGGGAGAGGAGGGAGAGTGGAGTGATGGGGAGTGGGAGTGTGGGTGCCGAGACGATCAGAGGCAGGAGAACGAAGAGAAAGAGGAGGGTGTGGAGGGAGAAGAGGGTGGAGAGGGGAAGGGGAGGAAGGAGAGTGAGGGAGGAGAGATGAGAGGGAGGAGGGCGGCAGAAGGGTTGGAAACAGAGAGCAGAGGCACAAGGAGTGGTGGGAGTGGGGCTGTATGCTCAAGATTGGGTGAACCGTGTGCGCTCGAGTCAGTGCCGTGTGAACGACAGTCAGTACCAACTGAACGACAGTCAGTACCAACTGAACGACAGTCAGTACCAACTGAAGTACCAACTGAACGACAGTCAGTACCAACTGAACGACAGTCAGTGCCGTGTGAACGACAGTCAGTACCAACTGAACGACAGTCAGTGCCGTGTGAACGACAGTCAGTACCAACTGAACGACAGTCAGTGCCGTGTGAACGACAGTCAGTACCAACTGAACGACAGTCAGTCCCGTGCTTAAATTGGGATCGATGGGATGGTTTCGAAAGTGCAGTGCTTGACAGGCTTGAGCAGGAGGGGGGTTACCAATTCAGGCGAAGACTATGCAACAGCAAGTGCAGCAGACCTGAGCTGTCTCATAACCCACACTGCAGCAGCAGAACCGGCGATAAGGATAAGAGCGATAGAAGTAACAGCAGCAGCAGTTTCTGCAGAGGAATTACGGGGAGTGGCGGTTTTGTCAGTGGCGATTTTTGTAGCAGAACACTCAGCAATAGCAGGTGTGCTAGTGGCCATGGCAGCAGCAGCTGTGGCAGGAGGTGTAATTGTAGCTGTAGCGGCGGCTGTAGTGGCGGCTGTAGCAGGAGGTGCAACCACCATAGTGGCTGTAGCAGAAGCTGTAGCGGCGGCTGTAGCAGGAGAGTCTATCCGGGGCGATTGTGGCCTGTGCCAGGTGTCACGCTGGCAGAGGAGTGCTTAGCTGTCCAGCCGCTATTGGTCAGTTCGTGTCCAGGCAGGCTGGTGGGGAAAAGGAGGGGAATGCAAGAGGAAGCGAATGGGGTGGGGGTGGGGGATGGGAATGGGGGAAGGGGAGAACTGGAAGGGGGGGGCATAGGAGAGAGGAAGGAAGATGGAGAGGAGGAGGAAAAGGAGGAGGAAGAGGAAGAGGAGGAAGAGGAGGAGGAGGAAGAGGAAGAGGAGGAGGTGGATAACGAGTTGTTGCTGTCTGCTGTGGAAAAAGCGCATTGGGACATGAAGAAGGATCGGGTGAGTAGGGTACTGGGTTGTTGAGAGAGTTAGTGGTTGAGTGGATTAATGGGTGAGTGGGTTAGTGGGTGAGGTGGGATGGTTCAAACGACTGAGTGGGATACTGGCGATTACACTGCATTACCCTCCTCTCCTCCTCCCCTCCCAGCTTTTTCCCCAGTCCCCAACAGGTCACACTGTTTTCACCATCCAACCTCCTCCGCGCCTTCCTAGACCTCCTAGACCTCCTAGACCTCCTAGACCTCACAGAATCATCTCACGGATTCATCACCTCCCTCTGCCTCATGTGATCCTCTCTTCCTCTCCCCCCTCCCCTGTTCCCCCTCCCAGTCCCCAGCAGGTCACACCGTGTTCACCAACCTCCTCAGCTCTCCCTCAGACCTCACCGAATCATCCTTCGGTTTCATCGCCTCTCCCTGCCTCGTGCCTTATGCGTTTGCGCTACCTTCCTCCTCCCTCTTTCCCTCGTCCCCCATCCCCCCCCCCCCCCCTTTTTCTCTCCCTCCCAGTCCCCAACAGGTCACACAGTGTTCACCAACCTCCTCAGTTCTCCCCTAGACCTCACCGAATCCTCTTTCGGATTCATCGCCTCCCTCTGCCTCACACCCAAGAGCGCCACACTCTGTTGCCCTGTTCCTCTGTTCCCCTGCTCCCCTCCCAGTCCTCAACAGGTCACACTGTTTTCACCAACCTCCTCAGCGCCCTCCTAGACCTCCTAGACCTCCTCACCGAATCCTCCTTTGCTTCTATTGCCGCTCTCTGCATCGTGCTTCAGATGATCCTCCTTTCCTTCCTCCATCCATTTCCCCCGCTGCCTGACCCTCCTCCCTCTTCCCCTGTCCCCTCTCCCAGTCCCCAGCAGGTCACACCGTCTTCACCAGCCTTCTCAGCTCTCTGCTAGACAGAATCCTCCTTCAGCTTCACGGCCTGCCTCTGCCTCATGTGTTTTCTTTTGAGTCGACTCAAACGCATGTGTTCCTCCGTTCCTCTCCTCCCTCTTCCCCTGTCCCCCCTCCCAGTCCCCAACAGGTCAGACAGTCTTCACCAACCTTCTCAGCTCTCTGCTAGACCTCACCGAATCATCCTTCGGCTTCCTCGCTTCCCTCTACCTCATACCTTCAAATGCTCCTCCTTTCCTTCCCTCTTCCCTCGTCCCCTCTCCCAGTCCCCAACAGGTCAGACAGTGTTCACCAACCTCCTCAGTTCTCTCCTAGACCTCACAGAATCCTCCATTGGATTCATCGCCTCGCTCTGCCTCGTACCCAAAGGTTCCCCACTCGCTCGCACTCTTCCCCACCTCATGCCTGACACCGGACCCACACTACCCACACTGGCTATCAACCAACCTCAAAGCCCCACACTCGCACTTAACCCACCTCCAAACCCATCCGGAAGCCCTATACTGGCACTTAACCAGTCTCAGAACCCACCTCACAACTCACCCCACAACCCACCGCAAGGCTTCACGCTCGCACTTAGATCCCACGCCATCAACAACGTAGGCTGGACGGATCAGCTGCACGGAACCTTCCTGGACGCTTCGACTTCTACCGGACTTCTGCTCTCCCCCCTGGACCCCGCCGGCCTCTTTGGCCGGGCGGCTGTGAGAGGGGAGGCGGCGTGGAGGAACAATGCCGTGCCGCCTGCTGCTCTCCCCAAGGGCCATCCCAAGCTCTCCTCCGCTCTCTGCATACCCTTGACCTGTGGTGAGTCTCTGCTCCTTTGCTTGTCGCCTCTCCCCTCTTCAACCGGGCTTCTGCTCTCCCCACTGGATCCCGCCGGCCACTTTGGCCAGGCGGCTGTGAGAGGGGAGGCGGTGTGGCCGAATAATGCCGTGCCGCCTGCTGCTCTGCCCAAGGGCCATCCCAAGCTCTCCTCCGCTCTCTGCATACCCTTGACCTGTGGTGAGTCTTTGCTCCTTTGCTTGTAGCTTCTTTCCCCTCTTCAACCGGGCTTCTGCTCTCCCCACTGGATCCCGCCGGCCACTTTGGCCGGGCGGCTGTGAGAGGGGAGGCAGTGTGGCGGAACAATGAGGTGCCGCCTGCTGCTCTCCCCAAGGGACATCCCAAGCTCTCCTCCGCTCTCTGCATACCCTTGACCTGTGGTGAGTCTTTGCTCCTTTACTTGTAGCTTCTTTCCCCTCTTCAACCGGGCTTCTGCTCTCCCCACTGGATCCCGCCGGCCACTTTGGCCGGGCGGCTGTGAGAGGGGAGGCGGTGTGGCAGAACAATGCCGTGCCGCCTGCTGCTCTGCCCAAGGGCCATCCCAAGCTCTCCTCAGCTCTCTGCATACCCTTGACCTGTGGTGAGTCTTTGCTCCTTTGCTTGTAGCTTCTTTCCCCTCTTCAACCGGGCTTCTGCTCTCCCCACTGGATCCCGCCGGCCTCTTTGGCCAGGCGGCTGTGAGAGGGGAGGCGGTGTGGCAGAACAATGCGGGGCCGCCTGCTGCTCTGCCCAAGGGCCATCCCAAGCTCTCCTACGCTCTCTGCATATCGTTGACCTGTGGTGAGTCTCTTCGTCTGTCCTTGTTTTCCTGAAAGAACTCTTCCTCTTTGGCCGGGCGGCTGTGAGAGGGGAGGCGGCGTGGAGGAACAATGCGGTGCCGCCTGCTGCTCTACCCAAGGGCCTTCCCAAGCTCTCGTCGGCCCTCTGCTTATCCCTGACCTGTGGTGAGTCTCTTCACATTCCCTGAGCGTGCACGGCATGCAAGAGGCTTGTTGCCTCTCTGCTCTGGGCCCAACAAAGCACTGCGTCTCTCTGGCCGGGCGGTGCTGAGGGGAGAGGCGGCGTGGAGGAACAATACCGTGCCGCCTGCTGCTCTACCCAAGGGCCTTCCCAAGCTCTCGTCGGCCCTCTGCTTACCCCTGACCTGTGGTGAGTCTCTTCACATTCCCTGAGCGTGCACGGCATGCAAGAGGCTTGTTGCCTCTCTGCTCTGGGCCCAACAAAGCACTGCGTCTCTCTGGCCGGGCGGTGCTGAGGGGAGAGGCGGCGTGGAGGAACAATGCCGTGCCGCCTGCTGCTCTGCCCAAGGGTCATCCCAAGCTCTCCTCCGCCCTCTGTATTCCGTTGACCTGTGGTGAGTCTTTGCTCCTTTGCTTGTACCTCTCCCCTCGGTGCCCTGTGAGACTCTTTGGCCGGGCAGCTGTGAGAGGGGAGGCGGTGTGGCAGAACAATGCAGTGCCGCCTGCTGCTCTGCCCAAGGGACATCCCAAGCTCCCCTCCGCTCTCTGCATCCCATTGACCTGTGGTGAGTCTCTGCTTGTTTCCTGAGGGCTTGTCGACTCTCCCCCCGTCTGGTTCCCCTCTGGATCCCATGGGTCTTTTTGGCCGAGCTACGTTGACGGTTCTTTTGAGAATTCTCACAAGTACTCTCCCCCCGTCTGGTTCCCCTCTGGATCCCACGGGTCTCTTTGGCCGAGCGGCAGTGAGCGGGGAGGAGGTGAGTCTCGTCCCCCTGGCATCCTCGGTGTTGCAATGGTTGGTAACCGCATCGGTGGTTTTACTTTTGAGTCGACTCAAAAGGATCCTCGGTGTTGCAATGGTTGGTAACCGCATCGGTGGTTTGACTTTTGAGTCGACTCAAAAGGATCCTCGGTGTTGCAATGGTTGGTAACCGCATCGGCGGTTACAACGAGTCGATGGGTGCTCGCAGTGCAGCCTGTGACCACCTCTGCTGCTGCTTGATTGAAGAAGGGTTTTGAGACGTCTCAAAACCCTTCTTCAATCAACGAGTCGCTGGGTGCTCGCAGTGCAGCCTGTGACCACCTCTGCTGCTGCTTGATTGAAGAAGGGTTTTGAGACGTCTCAAAACCCTTCTTCAATCAACGAGTCGCTGGGTGCTCGCAGTGCAGCCTGTGACCACCTCTGCTGCTGCTTGATTGAAGAAGGGTTTTGAGACGTCTCAAAACCCTTCTTCAATCAACGAGTCGCTGGGTGCTCGCAGTGAAGCCTGTGACCACCTCTGCTGCTGCTACAGCCTTCCTCCTCAAACCCTTCCTCCCATCTTTTCCCCTTGTCTCCGTTTTAATGTCGCGCTCACACCTACCACCATCTCTACGCCCTACCGCTACGCGACAGGAAACCACAAGGAAGGATCCTCTCTACTCAAATCCGCCGGGATACGCGACTACCAGAGAAAGCTAGTGTCAGACTTATATGACATAGCTACTGTAGGCTATAGTGGGGTAGCACATGTGGGGTACAGTTTTCTAGGGTTTGCTTTTGTACACAACTTTCCTTTAGTCATTCCATTCCTCGTTTCTTCTCATGGTATCGAGCAGGTTCCCTAGTGGGAACACTTCCTAGGGCCCACCACGAATCTTTTTTTTTTCCTGCCCGGAGCGCGCTTCGCTCCTGCCCGAGTCGCGCCCTGTGTGCCCTCCCTACCGTCGCGCCCTCTCACGGCCCCTCACGGTCCCTTCGCGTCGCCCTTAGCGGCCCCTCTCACGGCCCCCTGCGCCGCCCTTACGGCCCCTCGTGCCACCCTTACGGCCCCTCGCGCCGCCCTTACGGCCCCTTACGGCCCCTCGCGCCGCCCGTCGGCCCCTCGCGCCGCCCTTAGCGGCCCCTTACGGCCCCTCGCGCCGTCCCTTACGGCCCCTCGCGCGGCCCCTTACGCCCCTTACGGCCCCTCCCGCGGCCCCTCACGGCCCCCTACGGCCCGTCGCCGCCCTCCGCGGCCCCTCGCGCCGCCCTCTCACGGCCCGCCGCCGCCCTCCGCAGCCCCTCGCGCCGCCCTTCACGGCCCCTTCGCCGCCCTTCGCGGCCTCTCGCGGCCCTGTCGCCGCCCCCCCTCCGGCCCGCCGTCGCCGCCCCTGCCGCAGCGGCCGCCGCCGTCCCTGCAGCAGCAGCCGCCACCACCTCCCTCGGGGCCGCAGCTGCTGCCGCCGCTGACTGCACCCGCCGGTGCGCCTCGGCCCTACCGGCGCCGCTCCACCCGGCCCCGCCGCCGCTCCCCGCGCGGCCCCGCCGTCACCACCGAGCCGCCGGCGCCGCCGAGCTGCTGCCGAGCTGCCCGATCCACCCGAGCCGCCCGAGCCGCCGCGCCACCTGAGCCGCCCGTGCTGCCGAGCCGCCGAACCGCCGAGCCGCCCGAGCCGCCGAGTCGCCGAGCCGCTGTTGCTGCCGAGCCGCCGTACCGCCGAGCCGCCGAGTTGCCGAGCCGCTGAGCCGCCGAGCCACCCGAGCCGCCCTGTCTGGTAAGAGCAGCGCCTCTGTCACTGCACTGCCCTTACCCTACTGTTCGCGCTGCTAGTCTACTGCTGTCATGGCTACCCCTAGTGTCCTCGCTTTTGACGCTGAGGGTCGGGCCATTGACTTTGACGTCTGGGTAGATGACCTGCAGCTTTTCCTACAGTGCGATAGGGCAGACGGTCTCTCCCTCTTTGACCTCACCTCTGGTGCCTCTCCTGCCCCTGCTGCTGATGCCGACGCCACTGTTCGCTCACAGTGGGCCACTCGCGATGCTGCTGCACGTCTTGCTGTGCGTCGCCACCTGCCTACCTCTGAGCGTGCGCACTTTAGCCAGTACAAGAGTGCTCAGACCTTGTACGACGCTGTAGTTGCGCGCTACTCCTCCCCTGCCACTGCTGCACTGAGCCGCCTCATGCTACCGTACCTCTTCCCTGACCTTGCTGCCTTTCCCACAGTCGCTGACCTCATTACGCACCTCCGCACTAGTGACACTCGCTACCGCGCTGCGCTTCCTGCTGAGTTCTGCGCCAAGACCCCCCCCCCATGTACATCACCCTCTACTACATAGTCACCCGGCTCCCTGACTCCCTTCGCGTAGTCAGGGACCACTTCCTCTCAGTTTGCCCCACCACTCTCACCGTTGACCTCCTCGAGAAGGCCCTCCTAGCAGCAGAAAAGAGCATAGTAGCTGTAGGAGCCTCTCGTGGTGACCCTCGCACCCCCATCTTTGAGGGGTGTTCCCCCTCCCCCCTTTTGCCCTCTGTTGCCTCTGCTGCTGCGGCCGACCTCGTTGGGCTTGAGTCGGTCGGTGCGGCGTCTACCCCTAGCGGGAGACGCCGCCCTGGCAAGGGCAAGGGGGGCAGGGGCACTGGAGGAGCTAGCGGGGGCGGTGGAGGCGGCGGTGGAGGCGGTGGAGGGGGTGGGGGTGGCGGTGGGGGTGGTGGCGGGGGTGGAGTTGTCGGTGGCGGCAGTGGAGGCGGAGGCGGCGGCGGCGGTGGCGGTGGGAGCGGAGGTGGCGGCGGTGGAGGAGGCGGCGGCGGAGGAGGTGGAGCTGGTCGGGGTGGCGCTGCGCAGAGGGTCGGCTCCGGTGGTGGTCAGCGCCAGCAGCAGCAGCAGCAGCAGCAGCGCCCTCGTGACATCCCCCCCCCTCAGCAACTCCGTGAGTGGTACGCTGCACGCCAGCGGGGTGGGGGTACTGGTCCGTGCACCTACGTCCTACGCACCGGAGACCGCGCGGGTGAGCAGTGCTGGGGTGCGCACTCTACCCAGCGCTGCTTTGACCGCCTGACGGACGCTTGGCGTCACCAGTTCCCTGAGGCCACTGAGATCCCCCGCTGGGGTGAGCTGTCTAGGGCGGGTGTAGCTGTCTTTGACCTTGACTTTGATGCTATTCTTGCTGCCATGTATACTGTGACTATTAGTGATGAGGGTGACTGTTACCGGTGTTTTCCGCCCGACCCGGGCATTGAGTCTGCTGCTCTAGGTACTGGTGAGGCTGCTGCTCTAGGTGCTAGCGAGGCTGCTGCTCTAGGTGCTCGTGCGTCTGCTCCCTCAGGTGCTGGTGAGTCTGCTCTCTCAGGTTCTGCGTCGGCTTCGGCCTCCCACACCTTCACCCTTGACTCGGGGGCTTCTCGCTCCTTCTTTCGAGACCGCACCACACTCACGCCGCTTGGCCGGCCAGTTGCAGTCTCTCTGGCAGACCCCTCTGGGGGTCCTGTCCTTGCTCACTTCTCCACTGTCCTCCCGTGTCCGGTGGCCCCCTCTGGCACCCTGTCTGGTCTTTACCTCCCCTCGTTCTCTACGAACTTGGTGAGTGGTGCTGACCTACAGGATGTGGGGGTTCACCAGTTCACTCCTGCGAGTCAGCGGGTGACCCACTGCACGGACGCTCGGACAGGCCGACACCTGGCCACGTTTACACGTCGGCCGGGGTCGAGCCTGTACACACTGACCACTGCGTCTCCTCCAGTCACTGCGTCTGGTCAGGTAGCTGCGTCGGGTCAGGTGTTTGCTGCAGCGTCCAGGTCTGGTCCTGAGTCTGCCCCCTGTTCGTGTCGCCTTCTGTCTCACGAGACTCTCCTCTGGCACCACCGCCTTGGTCACCCCTCCCTGCTTCGTCTCCGAGGCATGGCCTCCCGTGTCCTTGTCTCTGGTCAATGCGGTGCCGCCTGCTGCTCTACCCAAGGGCCTTCCCAAGCTCTCGTCGGCCCTCTGCTTATCCCTGACCTGTGGTGAGTCTCTTCACATTCCCTGAGCGTGCACGGCATGCAAGAGGCTTGTTGCCTCTCTGCTCTGGGCCCAACAAAGCACTGCGTCTCTCTGGCCGGGCGGTGCTGAGGGGAGTTGCGGCGTGGAGGAACAATACCGTGCCGCCTGCTGCTCTACCCAAGGGCCTTCCCAAGCTCTCGTCGGCCCTCTGCTTACCCCTGACCTGTGGTGAGTCTCTTCACATTCCCTGAGCGTGCACGGCATGCAAGAGGCTTGTTGCCTCTCTGCTCTGGGCCCAACAAAGCACTGCGTCTCTCTGGCCGGGCGGTGCTGAGGGGAGAGGCGGCGTGGAGGAACAATGCCGTGCCGCCTGCTGCTCTGCCCAAGGGTCATCCCAAGCTCTCCTCCGCCCTCTGTATTCCGTTGACCTGTGGTGAGTCTTTGCTCCTTTGCTTGTACCTCTCCCCTCGGTGCCCTGTGAGACTCTTTGGCCGGGCGGCTGTGAGAGGGGAGGCGGTGTGGCAGAACAATGCAGTGCCGCCTGCTGCTCTGCCCAAGGGACATCCCAAGCTCCCCTCCGCTCTCTGCATCCCATTGACCTGTGGTGAGTCTCTGCTTGTTTCCTGAGGGCTTGTCGACTCTCCCCCCGTCTGGTTCCCCTCTGGATCCCACGGGTCTTTTTGGCCGAGCTACGTTGACGGTTCTTTTGAGAATTCTCACAAGTACTCTCCCCCCGTCTGGTTCCCCTCTGGATCCCACGGGTCTCTTTGGCCGAGCGGCAGTGAGCGGGGAGGAGGTGAGTCTCGTCCCCCTGGCATCCTCGGTGTTGCAATGGTTGGTAACCGCATCGGTGGTTTTACTTTTGAGTCGACTCAAAAGGATCCTCGGTGTTGCAATGGTTGGTAACCGCATCGGTGGTTTGACTTTTGAGTCGACTCAAAAGGATCCTCGGTGTTGCAATGGTTGGTAACCGCATCGGCGGTTACAACGAGTCGATGGGTGCTCGCAGTGCAGCCTGTGACCACCTCTGCTGCTGCTTGATTGAAGAAGGGTTTTGAGACGTCTCAAAACCCTTCTTCAATCAACGAGTCGCTGGGTGCTCGCAGTGCAGCCTGTGACCACCTCTGCTGCTGCTTGATTGAAGAAGGGTTTTGAGACGTCTCAAAACCCTTCTTCAATCAACGAGTCGCTGGGTGCTCGCAGTGCAGCCTGTGACCACCTCTGCTGCTGCTTGATTGAAGAAGGGTTTTGAGACGTCTCAAAACCCTTCTTCAATCAACGAGTCGCTGGGTGCTCGCAGTGAAGCCTGTGACCACCTCTGCTGCTGCTACAGCCTTCCTCCTCAAACCCTTCCTCCCATCTTTTCCCCTTGTCTCCGTGTTCCTCTCTTCCACAGGCCCCTGTATCCTCGGTGTTGCAATGGTTGGTAACCACGTTGGCGGTTACACGAGACGCTTGGTGCTTGCGGTGCAGCCTGTGGCCACCACTGCTGCTACAGCCTTTCTCCCGCCTAACCCCCACACCCACCCTTCCTGCTCTTCCTCCCTTCCCCAGGCCCCTGTATCGTCGGCGTTGCGATGGTTGGTAACCGCATCGGCGGTTACAACCAATCCTTGGTGCGGGCGGTGCAGCCTGTGACCAGCACTGCTGCAGCCTGCCTGTTCGAGCTGCACTGGCGGGCTGCTGGCGGAAGGAGGCTCAGAAAGAAAATGGTTTCAATTGCTGAGGTGAGTGAAAGAGAGCGCAGGTGTGTGTGTGTAACTGAGACAAGCACTGCTGCTGCCTGCCTGTTCGGCCTGCACTGGAGGGCTGCTGGGGGAAGGAGGCTCAGAAAGAAAATGGCTCCAGTGACAAAGGTGAGGGAAATGGAGGGGCAGGTGTGCGGGTGTGAGTGAGTGCTTGGGTGTGAGTGAGTGCTTGGTTGTAAGTGGAACCAGCACTGCTGCTGCCTGCCTGTTCGAGCTGCACTGGAGGGCTGCTGGGGGAAGGAGGCCCAGAAAGAAAATGGTTTCAATTGCTGAAGTGAGTGAAAGAGAGCTGCTGGGGGGAGGCGATTGCGGAAGAAGACGGCTTCAATTGGCAGGCAATGAGAGTCTGTAGGCAGGCAATGAGAGTCTGTAGGCAGGCAATGAGGTGAGTGAGGGAATGAGAGTATGAGTCTGTGCCTATGCATGTGCCTGTGTGAGTGTGGTGCAAGCAGTGTGACCACCACTGCTGCTGCCTGCCTGTTCGGGTTGCACTGGCGGGCTGCTGGGGGGAGGCGATTGCGGAAGAAGACGGCTTTGATGGGAGAGGTGAGTGAAAGAGAGGGTATGTGTGCGTGTGTGTGAGGGTATCGGGGAGACCAGCACTGCTGGCGCCTGCCTGTTTGGACTGCACTGGAGGGCTGCTGAGGAGAGGAGGCTGAGGTGAGGTGGAAAATGGGCTCAGTGAGAGAGGTGAGGGAAGGGGTATGAGAGAAGGAGAAGGCGTGGTCATGTTCCTGCGTCTCTGTGATGACTTTTGAGGCGCCTCAAGAGAAGGCGTGGTCATGTTCCTGTGCCTGTGTGAGGAGTTTTTTTGAATTCTCAAAAACTCCCTGCAATGAGTGAAGGAGAAGGCGTGGTCATGTTCCTGTGCCTGTGTGATGTCTTTTGAGTCGACTCAAAAGTCACCTCGTGAGGGAAGGGGTATGAGTGAAGGAGAAGGCATGGTCATGTTCCTGTGCCTGTATGATGTCTGTGCATTGCTGGCAGGGACGCCCCCCTGCCCGAGCCATGTTTGAGGCGCCTCAAAAACTGTCTGCGCATTGCTGGCAGGGACGCTTCCTGCCCGAGCCATGTTCGCCCTGCCCTGCTGATTCCCTATTCACTCATCCCATATGCGCTTCTCACACACGCCTGCACTGAAACCCCATCCTTTGTTATCCCCTTCTCTTCCTCTCTGCCTGCAGGTCGGCCAAATCCGCATCAGTGCATCTGGTCGTTGAGAATTCTCAAAAACCAGCTTGCATTTGGTCGTTGAGAATTCTCATAAAACCAGCTTGCATCTGGTCGCATTGCTGATATGGACGCTCCTGCTCGAGCTATGTTCTCCCTGCTGCCACCACCTTATCTCATGCCTGCACTGAATCCCCAGCCTTCGTTCGCCCCGTCTCTACCTCTCTGCCTGCAGATTGGCCGGATCCGCATCAGTCCAGCTGGGCGCATTGCTGGCATGGACGCTCCTGCTCAAGCCATCTTCTCCCTGCTGCCACCCCATGCATTCATCCCACACACCCTTGCTCTCACTCCACGCATGTGCTCACAGGTTGGCGGAATCCACATCAGTTTATCTGGGCGCGTTGCTGGTATGGACGCTCCTGCACGAGCCATGTTCTCCCTGCTGCCGGCCCCTTCACTTACACACTCGTCCCTCATCGTTCCTTTCTTCTCTCTTTCTTTGTCTCGTTCTCTTCCTCCCAGGTTGGTCGGATTCGCATCAGTGCAGCTGGCCGCATTGCTGGCATGGACGCTCCTGCAAGATCCATCTTCTCCCTGCTGCCGTCGCTGCAGCAGTTAGAGAAGCGGAGGAAGAGGGAGAAGGGAGAGGGGGAGGAGGCAGTGAGAAGGGAGGAGGAGGCGAAGGAGAGATTTAAGGGGAAGGAGAGAGAGGAGGAGGAGGAAGGAAAGGAGGATTCTGGGCGTTCACATGGGTGCGGAAAACTGGTTGCAGCAGAGGGAGTAGAGAGAGCAGACGTGGAAGAGGGAGCAGAGGGAGCAGAAGGAGCAGAGGACATTAAGGGACAAAAGTATTGGTGCCAACCACAAAAACTGCAGCACTCGAACAGTACAGGATCACATCATAACGAGTTGCTGGGGCAGCAGTCTCACGCACCCGCATTTCTGGGGCAGGAAAAACAAAAAGGACATAGCTGTAGGGTGACCACCAACAGTACCCCACATTCCAAACCTTGCCGGCGGGACTACCCTCCGGCACCCATCCTCCTTAGAGACCTCTTCGTTAGAGTAGGTAAGACGGCAGGAGCGGATCTGACTCCTAGAGTGCTGCAGCAGTTGCTGAGAAAAGGAGGGCAGAGGGCAGTGGGTGTGCAGAGAGGGGGAGGGCAGATTTTCCTGTATTTGGAACTGGAGGGAAGAGGAGAGGAGGGAGAGGGGGAGGCGGGGGGCGAGAGGGAGGAGGAGGAAGAGGAGCAGGGGCAGAGAGAGAGGGAGGTAGAGGAGGAGAGGGAAGGGGATGGGAGAAGACAGGAGGGGAGTGAGACGGTTGCAGGGGAAAAGACAGAGGTTGGGCCCGAGGCTCAGGCTGAGGTTCGGGCCGAGGCTCAGGCTGGGGCTGGGACCAAGGGTGAGGGTGATTGGCGGAGAAGACTGATGAACAATTCGTGGGCGGAGCTGTGGGTTGGGCCCCGAGTCAAGAGGAGTGTGAGTCATACAACAACAGAAGGAGCAGCAGGAGCAGGCACAGGAGCATCAGCAGCAGGAGAGGGCAGGAGGGCATCAGCAGCAGGAGAGGGCAGGAGGGCATCAGCAGCAGGAGTAAGCCTGCTAGCTAACCAGCCAGGGGTTGGGCCCCGAGTCAAGAGGAGTGTGAGTCATGCAATGACAGAAGGAGCAGCAGGAGCAGGCACAGGAGCAGCCTTGAAATTGCAGGCAGGGGTAGGGGCAGGAGCAGGGGCAGGGGCAGGGGCAGGGGCAGGGGCAGGGGCAGGGGCAGGGGCAGGGGCAGGGGCAGGGGCAGGGGCAGGGGCAGGGGCAGGGGCAGGGGCAGGGGCAGGGGCAGGGGCAGGGGCAGGGGCAGGAGCAGGAGAAGGAGCAGGAGCAGGAGAAGGAGCAGGAAAGGCAGAAGCATCCCCTGCTGCAGAGCCGTCTACATTGTTGGAGTGTAGCAGTCATAAATGCTCACAGGTTCATGGCCTGAGCCATTGCAGCAGCGAAGGGCAAATTGCAACAGCTGGCAAGCATGAGGTGGTGATAAGCAGCAAGAGTGAATCGTTAGATTGCAAGATTACCAGCAACAGCAGCGGCTGCGGCGGCGGCAGTACTAGTCGACCTTTGAAATCAACCATGTGTACAGTGCGAGTAAGCCTGCTGGCGAAACAGCCAGGCACTCCGATTGAGTTTTGTATTTAATGCACATTTTCATATCAATAAAAGCAGCACCACATGACAGGCTTCAAAACCAAGCATGTGTATGGTGCAAGTAAGCCTGATGGGGAAGCAGTCAGGCACACCTACAGATAAATGTATTCAATGCGCATTCTTACCGTATGTCAATAGAGGCGGCAACATGTGCAATTCTCACACCAAGGAAAGAAGCATTAGCGTGGTACAAAGCATGCTCCATAATGCTCTATCCGCGCTTTTGGATTGACTAATTGTTACGGGTGCAATGGATCGAGGTAGCGAGGATTGCACTAACGTGTCAAACGAGTAGAAAATGTGAGGGAAGGCATGAGCGAACATTTATACGCGAAACATGCAAACGGTAACGCGGTGCGTGCGAGCTAGCTAGTGCTAGGCTGGCATTGAGGCTCGGGCCAATCCCGAAGCGTAGGCCGACACGGCCGGGTCAGCGGTGCATGGTTTGGTGAAACAGTGCGCGCGAAATCGGCGAAGCCCCGTTAGCAGTAACGGGCGAACAACGGCTGTTGCTGTACGCGATGTTGCAGGTCGCGGTAAGGAATGTTGAGAAAATTCCTTACACTACCCCCCGCCTCAAGAAGCCCCCTCCGCTACGCGAGTGCGTGTATATCGCGGAAACCACGGCTCCTCAGGTACACTTGCAGGACAGGGTGGTTTTCAATGTTGGCCAGGGGCACCCAACTATCCTCAGTTGGTGTGCGGTCCTTCCAGCGAACGAGGAACTCGATCCTCCTAATGCCTGTGGGGTGTCGAATCCGATGGCTCAGAATCTTCTCGGGCTCAATGATCGCCTCCGATGCAGGGCGAGTCATGGATGGCGGGCGGTGACGAGGCAGTTGACTTGTGGTTGGGATGTAGGGGCGAAGCAGGCTGACGTGGATGTCAAAATAGCAAGCAGGAATGAGAACAGCAGAAGAGGGTTTTCACTAGCAAGCAATGGGATACGGTACATATAGCAAACCCTAGTTGGTTGCACTCACTATAGAGTACCCCACTGCAGACTAGACAAATAACACATTCTGACACACCTCCATAGGCAAAGTGGGGTATGATCAGCACAGCAAGCAGTCGCATAAGAAGTTCACAAGCACAAGCAAAGCTAGATGCAGTCACAGAGGGCAAGTGAGGAGGAGGAGGGACTGTGAGAGGAGTGGAGATAAAAGGTGACGGGTGAAGCGACAGACACACGGGCAACAGGAGCGGCGCGCACGGTGGCTACCGGACACAAGCAAGGGTATCCGGACTACTGGAGTCACTGGCTCCGCGGCTAAGACGAGCGGGGCTGGAGCAACGGACCACGGGCGACTGGCGCAGCAGGCTCGCTGGGCTACCGGAGCAAGGGTGACCCCCGGACTACTGGCGTTGCTGACGTCACGACAGCTACCTCCGTTCAACCTCCCCCAACTGTCCCACACCCCTTTCACACACCCCTTGCTGTACCCCTAGCTCCACTCCCACGACACCCCCCTAGCGCCACTCCCTAGGCTCCCACACACCCACCCCCCTCAGCGGCAGCTGCAGCAGTGGGAGACGGAGGAGGAGGAGGGGCAGCTGGTCACGCACTCCCACCACCCCCATACCCCCCCTTACCCCCGCCACCCCCATACCCTCCACACGGCTGCACGCGCAGCAGGAAGTCGAAGGAGGAGGGGGGAGGGCGGGCAGCGTCGCGACGTGCAGGGAGCGGGCGGGCTGTGGGGCGCTCGCAACGGGCAGGGCGCGGGCGGCAGGCGGGTCCAGGAGGGGCGGCGCGCGGGTCCAGCGGGGCAGCGCGCGGGTCCAGCAAGGGCGGCGCGCGAGTCCCGCAGGGCGGCGCGCGGGCCCAGCGGGGCAGCGCGCGAGCCCGCAGGGCGTCGCGCGGGTCCAGCGGGGCGACGCGCGGGTCCCGCAGGGCGTCGCGCAGGTCCAGCAGGGCAGCGCGCGGGTCCCGCAAGGCGTCGCGCGGGTCCAGCGGGGGCGGCGCGCGGGTCCCACGGGGCGGGGCACGGGTTAGGTGGGGCGACGCACCGAGCAGAAAACCGCCGCGCGCCCGGGGCTTGCGGCGGGCAGGAAGAGAAAACGTCACACGCGTGGCGAGAGAGAGAAAACGTCGCGCGCCACGGGGCGCGCGACAGACAGTACAGCAGCGGAAGCAGGTGGGCCCATAGGCCAGGAGCGTAGATGCTCTGATGGCATGTCAAAATAGCAAGCAGGAATAAGAACAGCAGAAGAGGGTTTTCACTAGCAAGCAATGGGATACATGTAGCAAACCCTAGTTGGGTTGTACTCACTATAGAGTACCCCACTGCTGACTAGACAATAACACATTCTGTCAGTGGAATGATGCCTGATGTACCAGTCTGTTGGCAACAGTAAATGGGCGGTGACAGGGGTGATCATGTGGCTGATTTTGAATGGTCCACAGTAGCGCGATCGTAAATTCGGTACGACGGGCAGTCTTAAGTTCTGTGTGTCGAGCAGTACGTAGTCCCCTGACTAGTACGTAACTGGGCGGCGGTGGCGGTCAGCGTTGCGTTTAGCGATGACGTTTGCCTTTTTAACTGCTTCTACAGCTCTGGTGCGGGCACCTTGCAGAATCTCGGCGAATTTCTGTGCGCGTGGCGTCGGGTTGTCCAGACTCGGCATTATGGGCACTGCTGGATTTCGCCCGTAGTCCAGGTAAAACGGGGACTGCTGCGTCGTCGCTGACGTGGCGTTGTTGTAGGCGAACCCGATCAGCGGCAGCTGCTGCTCCCAGGTTGTCGGGTCATCACACGTGGCCCGAATCAACTGCTCCATCGTCTGAATCGTCCGCTCCGTTTGACTGTCGGTCACGGGGTGGTACGATGAGCCGAGGCGACGGGGAGGCGTCGTGCTCGATGGTCGACGTGGTGGAGCCGACGGTCTCGCTGGCGCCGGAGGCTGGCGAGGACTTCCAGGCGGTGGCGGCAGCTGTGCAGGCCAACCCGATGGCGGTGTTGCTCGACAGCGGGTGCTTCCACCACCTGATGGGGACAAAGTCGGTCTTCGTTGACATGGGGCCGAGCGACGGGGTAAAGCACGTGCGTGAGTTCAACGGGGCATTGCAGCCTGTCGAGGGTCGCGGAACCGTCGCTCTGCAAGGGGAGGCCAGGAAACGGGTCCTTATCCCCGAAGTACTCTACGTTCCGGGCGTACAGGCGAACCTGCTGTCTGCTGGCCAGCTGAAGGAGAGCGGAGTGCTGCTGCAGGGCGATGGCGACGAGATGCTGCTCGTCGCCGCGACCGGGGAGGTGCTCGGTCGAGCGTGCTACACCGGACGAGTCCTCTGCACTGACCTTCGCCCCTGCTTGACGCGGTCGCCGTCGACTGAGGTGGTGGCTCTGCGGACGATTGTCTCAGCGACAAAGACGACCCCTACCTTGTTGCATGCGAGGCTCGCGCACGTCGGCGTCGACA